TTCGAGTAACTGGAAATGTTGACTGACCCCTAAACCACTATAAATCTTTTGTGTGTTTCTTTGTTGATTTTCTTATTATTGCTTTCCAAATTTAATTTCCGCACTTTGGGGATTTCTGGTGGTGAATCTTATTTTTGTTTTAAGATTTGTTTTAATAGAAAGATTTTTAATATAGAGTTACCACATCCTGATAAAAATTCGAAATCCACCCCCTCTATTGGGTTTGAGCCTTATCACCTTAGTAGACCAATACATGGCTTAAAGAATGTTTCCTACAACATTTGCACTTAACAAATTTTCCAAAAAATAAAAACATCAGGCCGTAGATAGTAACATTGACAGAACGGAAAGTAGAGCACGAGAGTCAATGAAAAACTGTCAACGGAAACAAAAACATCACAATGAGAAAACTGCTACAGCACTACTGCAAATAAATTGACAATCTAAAAATAAAAGAAAGAACAATAAACACTAAAAGATATATAGAATAGGAGAGAGAGACTATATCCAACAAAAAGCTAATTTAACAAGAGTAGGTAATAACATACGTTACCCAATATATAAAATATTAAAGCAGCAAGATTATGCAATTAAAGCAGTAAGTTCATCATGTACCATAAATTGTTACTCGTATGTACCTTTGCATCGTTATCAGTACCGAGCATGTACCGAGCATGTACTGCGCGGTACCGAGCATGTACAATCTGATGAAGTGAGACATGAAGCAAATAACGGGAAGAAAGATCGTTACCTAGCTGTGAAAAAAGAACCTTCGATTACAAGAAGCTGGAGAAGAAGAAGCGAGACATGAAGCAAATGACGGGAAGATTACGGGAAGCAAGAGAAGAACTGAAGAAGAAGAAATTAATCGTTACCTTCGCTCGCCTCCAGCTATGTTCGAACTCGACCGAACTGTTCGTCCAAGTTGGCGGAGTTCGCCTTTCAGTTCAAACCCGAAGCAGAAGCAGGTATGTTACCCTAATACTCGACTCTTATACGACTCTCACCGCTCGGTCTATATACTTACAAATCGAAGCGGTGCCTCGTTTCGCTTCGAGGCGTTACGAACCGAAGCCTACGCCCCGTGCGAAATAAGCGCACGCTCCGCCGAATCCAACGAGGCGTAAGTCTCAACACGCAAATGCTTCGCCTCGCTTTAAGTCACGCCTTAGTGCGTACGCCTCTTCCGCCTTTTTAATCGTTGGTAATTAGGAATTTTATTATGTTTCACTCCATGATACTCTCTATGTTCAATAATTTTTCTAATTTGAAGATGCTTGCAGTTGCTGAAACTCGGTTTGCCTCAGTTATAGTGATATTGAGAAGATTAAAAAAAATGCTCTTTAAGCTATGATGATCAGTGACAAATGGTCATGTTATAGGGAAGATGATATTGGAAAGGCTTGGTGTATAAAGGAGAAACTTTTAGATGATTTATGGTGGGATGAAATTATATAATATAAATTTCACAGATTCAATTTATGAGATGTTGAGAGTAGCTGATACAGATACGTCTTGTTTACATCTCATTTATGAGATGTGAGATTCAATGCTAGCCAAAGTAAAAGAAATTATATATAGACATGAGAGAGATGCACTTTATGAAGACTCAAGCTTCTGTGATGTTATTTATGCTATTCTAGAAGATAGATTGAGCAAAAGTAATACAACTTTACATTGCTTAGCTCACTCACTAAATCCCAAGTAAATTTCAACATTTTTTCATTATTATTTAATTCACAATTTGTTGTTTAGTAATTTCAACATTTTTTCATTTTAAAGTTAGTTGAAGATATTCAACTAAAGAATGGCTTCAAGAGGATCCTCAAAGAGTTTCTCCACAAAGATTTAGAAATTTCAAATATGAGGAAGACATGTTTGAAGTGTTATTTTCCAAATGAGGATGAGAGGTGCCAATATTGAGCTTGTTAAATTTTTTGGTTATTTAGAGGACTTTGGTGACCAAGAGTCATTGTGTGATAGGTGGAGAATTGATCAAAAAATGTGGTGGATTATACATGGAGCTTCAGCACCTCTACTTCAAATAATTGCCATAAAATTGCTTGGCCAAGTTTCATCCTCATCTTGTTGTGAAAGAAAATTGGAGCACATACTCTTTCATCCAATCAATGAAGAGAAATAAAATTACTCCACAACGGGCTAAAGATTTAGTTTATGTGCATACAAACCTTCGACTTCTCTCAAGGAAAACTTCAGCTTATATGGAAGGAGACAACAGGATGTGGGATGTTGCTGGAGATGGATTTGAATCTCTTGAGGATATGAGAATATTAGAAATTGCTATTCTTTCACTTGATGAGCTTTAATTGGAAGCTATGATATTTATTGAAAATGATAAAGAAATTCAAAGACAAACCATTGAAGAAGCAAATCCTATCATTCCTTCTATTGAATAGTTGAAACTTCATTTGCTGGACAATTTATATTTATATTTTTGTTGTTGTACTAGATATTTTACTATTTAATGCTTACTTTTATTTTAATATTATAAGATACAATGCTACAATTAATGCTGCTTTCAATTTTTTTTGTCATTTCAAATATTACGCTTTGATTACTTTCATAATTTTTATATATGATTTATATATTATAATGCCGTATCCGCGCTGTATCCGTATCCTGTATTTTTAAGAATTGACGTGTCCCGTATCCGTATTGTGTCGTATCTGTATTAGTGCAACATAGACGATGAGTTTTGAAAGCAAAAGCGCGAGACGTCGCGTACAACTCACCCGACACGTGTAATTGACCGAAAATCTAAATTGTCGAAATGAGTTTTGTTTGCAAAACTAACAACATCGTTATGCTCGAAGCAACGAAAATAGCTAAGATTGACACTCATATTACCGAGGTTCTCAATTGGTGGAAATTATAATTTTGTGTGCACGAATTGAAGATTTTACAGAAATGCCGAGGCATGATTAAAAAATCTATATCAATTAATTATAAATAAGAATTTAAAAGAAATAAAAAGAGATGAAATAAAAAAAGAAAATACCTAAATATAAAATTTCCTAAATTACCCCTTACATAACTCTCTCTATAACCCTCCAATGGATCACTTACGCCCACTCCCAACTCAAACTCTCGCACGCTCCCTCTCCCTCTTGGCTCACTCTCTCCCTCTAGGTTCTCTCTCGTGCGTGCTCAACTCCCACCGTCGTTGCTGCTCTATCCACCCTAGGTAACTTCTTCACCTCCTCTTCTTCTTGTTACTCTTCTTTTTCTTCCCTTCTTTCCTTCTTCTTCTCCCTCAAACTATATTTTCTTCTTCTTCTTTCTTCCTCCTTGATTTCTCCCTCATTATTTTTCTTTTTCTTCTTCCTCCTTACCATCTTCCCTAAACCTAATCCAAACCCTAACTATATTTTTTCAATTTTCCCTCTCTATTCCTCAAATCCCATACCACCTTCACAAAAGATTATCCCTTATACCTCTTACATCCTCTAAACCAAAAAGCCACTCATCTTCAACTTTCTCTCTCTAGAAAGTGAGATAAATTCATAATTTATATTTTCAAAAACCTCATTATTCATCTCAAACAAATCCTCCCACCCTTATTCCTTCTTTTCCCTCTACTTAGAGAGGAAAAAAATCCTCTCTTTCTCTCTCTAAAATTTGAGGAATAGAGTATTTTCTTTCTTTAACATCATTCACCTCACCACAAACATAAATACATTCCTTCAGCTTTCCCACTAAAAACTAGCTTATCCCTCTCTTTCCACTCTCCTCCTATCTCTAGCGCCATGTTATATATATAAAATTATTATCAAATAAATAATAATTACATAAAAAATTATATTGTGCGTTGCAGGTGTAAGTGTCGTCGTCATTGTCATGCCGTTGCCATTTATGTTGTACACTTTGAGGTATAACCCTGACACTATTTATTTTATAATTTGCTATGTATGAAATAAGTACCCGTTACCACTTTTATTAGCAGACGGGGAAATTCATATGCATGAAATAAGTACCTGTGACCGCTTTTATATTCAGACAAGAAAATTTGTGTGCATGAAATAAGTGCACATAATCGTTTTTTTGGTAGGCGGAGTAATTTGTATGCATAAAATAAGTACCAATGACTTTTTTTAGTAGACAGAGAAATTCGGATGTATAAAAAACTAAATATTAGTGACTGCTTTTATTAGTAGGTGGGAAAATGTTATGTTTTATAAATAGGCACTTGATGACCTATGACCATCTTTATTGGCAGTTGGGGAATAAAAAATTTGGGCGGAATGTCACCTGATACCTACTTTGACTGTTTTTATTAGCAGGAGGGAAAACTTAGTGCACTCGATGCAGCTCCCTACTCAGGGATGACTTCGGGACGTGAATTTTCAGAGCCTAGGGATCTTTGGCGACTCTGCTGGAGATGATTTCTCTCTATCTTTAACTAGTCGTATGTTTAAGTTATAGTAGCATCAAAATCTAATGAGTTGAGGTTTTAGTATAATTCATAAAATGATATTTTTTTAATTGAACTCATTAAAATTCTCTTAATAGTATCTTGAAATTATATAAATTACTTGTTATATCACCTTGTTCTATTGAGTCCCTGCGCTTTAAAAGTATGAGATAATATATGAAATTCTAATCACTGATCCCCATCTTTCATTCTATGTATAATGGACCTCCAGAAAATTCCTTTCACCGTCCAACTGGATGTGGTGCTACCATCCAGCTGACACATGCTGTCATGAACACCCGAGACTCCGATGATATCATCTAATTTGGTGATTTGCAATTCTCAATAGCTACTGTGAGGGTTTCTACCATCCTTGAATATGGTAGGAATACTGAAGGGCCTGCTAGGAGGCCTCATGTTACTGAAGTCACTGCTAATCACGTGCATCCTCCAGCACAACCACTGCAAAAGCCAAATGTGTTACTATTAATGAGTCCTCACATATATTTGTTTCCTAGCTATAACTCTCTTTGAAGCCAGGATTCATGACTGGGTTAGACTTTTTGAAAACTAAGGTCCTTTTATGGGGGATCTCATTAATAATAAAACCTTTGGCTTGCTGTGGTCGTAGTGCTAGAGGATGCACACAATTAGCAGCGACTTCAGTAACATGAGGCCTCTTGGCAGGCCTTTTGGTATCCATATCTTATACGAGGATGTTGGGACGAACCATTCATGGAAGAACTTCTTAGGGATTATTCTTTCATTAAAATAATGTATTAAATGATTCATGTCATGATTATTCGATAAGTTTTACATTGATTGTTGACTACCTAAACTTTCTCATCTAGGGCTTAGGACGTAACAACGACAATGTTATCTATTTTATCTCCATGATCATTTTCTTATTTATTATGGATTCATAGCACTCGACTCTATTTTTTTTCTTGCTGTCATTTTTTTCAATCAATTGATATGCTAATTTTTAGAATTTATGTCGATCCCATTTTTTTCTTAAGCATGACTTAAATTCATTGATATATCTTATGCCTAAGTTTCTGCTCTCTCAGGTTGATGTTGCTTTGGCTCTACTTGGTGACATGATTTTGCAAGTATGTTTGCTCTTGTTTTCTTATCCTTCAATAGTTATCCTAGTCCAGTGTAGTCTTCTGTTGTAATTGTATTGATTATAGTACTTATGTCATCATATATTTTCATTTATGCTCTATTTTTATTTTAATTTATTGCATATTTTTTCAACTATAATTTTTGTAGGAGCAAATTGGTGAAGCTCTTGTTCCTCATGATATGTGGGACCTTCGATTATTTAAACATATGTCCTCACTGTATGTCTCGTTCATCACTCATTGGAATATTTCTTTTTATAATTGATGAACTAGATTTTTCTAACTAATTGCATGCTTATCTTTTGGTTTTCATTAATTTTGATGAGAATGACTTTATATATATATATATATGAGAAGAGGAGGGTGAATGCTTGAACTTTAGACTCCCCTCAAAGGGTTTATAACTTATGTTTTCTAAGGATGAACTCATCCTTTTTTACATCATGTTGATTGTGAATTAGTATGCAATTTTGTACTTCAATCAAATGAGATTTAAAAATTTTAAAAATTAACTTGTGTTCTTGCAAAAATTATTTAAGCACTTTAATAAAGCTTTTGTTGGATGTCTGACAGCACAAAGAAAGTAAATGAAAATGTCTGACAACATAAAGAAAGTAAAAGAAATGAAATCTTGATGTAGCATATGGGTGAAGGGATGTTGAGATAATGGCAAAATTTATGTCTTTGATTGTTAAAAAGAGATGAGTCTAGTGTCAAAGAATAGATGAGCTAAAGCGAAGATGGTTATTGTAAAGTTTAGAATACTTTATATCTTTAAGGACAGGTGGTAGGAGTTAGAGAGAAATACTCATGAATAAGTCTTGTGGATAGGGAGGTTGGAGAATTGACAAGGAGAAAGTATGCTAGACCAATATGATTTCTTATTGCAATTGTTGGTTTGCTATTTAAAAATCGCAGCCTTAATCTCAGGATTAATCATTCCAAGTTTGAGATAATGATCACATTCACGCTTAAAATGGCTTTCTCATTTTATCTTTGATGATTGCAAAATGACTTCTGAGAATAAATGACAGGATCATGAAGCAAAACATAATTAATTAGCACTGAAGATTGACTATGATTAATACAACAACAACAACAACATCAAGCCTTTATCCCACTACGTGGGGTCGGCTACATGAATCCTTTTTCTCCATTGTGTCCTATTAAAAGTCAAATTCTCGTTTAAATCTAATAAAGAAAGGGCATTCCTAATATTTTCTAACCAAGTATTTTTAGGTCTAC